TCATCCTGCGTCTTCAGGGCCTGTAAGTGCAGGATGAATGAGTGAGGGTCTGAGGCTGACAGGGCCCTGGGGGTGCAAGCCCCACCTGGGAGAGTGTGAGGGACTTCTGTGAGGCCTTTGGGGTGCTGACCTAGCCAGAGGGGGGCCTGGAGCCCCAGGGCAGGATGCATCCAGCACCCTGAGAATCTGCTCCTGAGACCAGGCACTGACCGGGTTTCAGCAATCAGCCAGACTCTGTCCCTTCCCAGACCACTGAGGGAGAGAGAGCCACACAGCGCCCCCTGGTGATCAGGCCTGGCCCTGCACCTCTTGCACACCCTACTGGACAGCCAACAGTCAGAACCCATCAGGCTCTTGGCTGTCAGTCCTCCAAGATTGGGGTCAGCCAGAAGGACAGGGAATGGCCCGTCCCTGGGGTCCTCCCGGTCATCTGACTCTGACCTCTTGCCCTCTCAGTGTCTGACAAATCCACTGGAGCTTCTTGGGGATCACAGCCCACCCGCACTGCCGGGGCTCCCCGTAACTGTGCCTCCCACGGAACGTCCCTGGGCCAAGTGCAGGCAGCGGCCTTCAGATCTCCCTTGTGCCATGTGTTTATCTATAAGCCATTTTTAATTTTTAAAAATTCCTTATATCATTTTATGAGCCCTGGTGGCTCAATGAATAAGCACTCAGCTGCTAACCGAAAGGGCAGTTTGAACCCACCCAGCAGCTCCGAGGAAGAAAGACCTGGTGATCCGCTCCCATAACGTTTACAGCCTAGAAGACCTATGGGGCGTCTCCATTCTGTCACATGGGGCTGCTATGAGTCAGGATTGCCTCGACAGCACCCAACAACAACAAATACCATTCTATAAGCCTTGTTTCTTTAATTATGGAAAAAATACATCACCTTTACTTTCCACCCCGACCCCAATAATGCCACCACATTCCTGCCCACGTCCCTTCGGCCTCCCTGGGCCCCGAGTGGCACTCAGCTAACCAGGGAGAGGGAGCCATGCCATCTCTCAGTGCTCTCTCTGGGCCTGTCGCCATGGTGACTCGGGGAGAAGGCCCCGCTCAGGCGGACGGGGTGTCCTGACGTTCTAGATTATGCTGCCGGACCGCTGCAGCTTCTTTTCTTCCTTGGAACGGCTTCCTTGGGAGAAGTGCATCTTTCCAATCACTTGAGTCCATTTGGAATTTAATTCCTGGTGCCTCTGCGTTCCCCGCCCTCCCCCACCCCTTCGTTCTCCAAAGTGCCATTGGTTTTCTGCCGCTGCCTTTTGGTCAGGACGGCGGGCTGAGGGTCCCACCCTGGGTCTCTGACTGCCTCCCCTTTTCAGGGTCTCTGAGTTTCCCCAAGGCCCTCCCTTGCCATGACTGGAAATCCCCACCCAGGCAGTGACAGGCCAGTGACTCGTGATGCTGTGATTTCATGCTGGGGTTGTGGGGAGGAAGTAGCTTTGAGTGAAAAGGTGCAGATTTGCCCCTGGCCGTCCCCTCCTGCAGCCTGTCAGAGCACAGGGCCAGAGGAATGCTGTATCCCCACCCCAGGACCCTGCCATGGCTGGGAAGTCCAAAGCTGGTGACCTGAGCCCTTGGGGCCCCTTCACCTGGTGGCCAGACAGGCCATTCTCAGCCCCTGGGCTTGGAGTTTCAGTTCCGCCTGTTACCTGGTGACCCCGGGCAAGGTTCCTCACCCGCCTGCACCTGCTTCTTGTCTGCAAAATGAGGGCAATAATGGTGGCTTCCTCCCAGGTCACCCCGGGGGTACCTAAGATAATACCCACACGGAGCTTAGAAAGAAGAGGGCCGGGCACACAGTAGGTGCTCAATAAATGTTAGCTGTGCATGTGAAGCACCCTACCAGGGGACATAGAGAAAGAGGACAGACTCTCAGTGGGGGAGACTGCAAGGGAGGAGAGGGGAGGCCAGGAGGGCTTCCTGGAGGAAGTGGTGTCTGAGTGGGTTTAAAGACTGAGTAGTATTAGCTAACTCAGAAGGGAGAAAGAGTAGCTGGTGCAGAAGGAGCCACATGCTTAAGGACACTAGCGATGTGGGGGGTGGAGCAGGGCGAGTGGGGGAGCAGGTGTAAGTGGGAGGAGACCCCCGGAGGGTCCTGCTGGGTGACAGGGAGATGTTGAAGGATTCCTGGAGGGAAGTGACTGCTCAGATTTGCCACTTAGAAGGATCCCGTGGCTTCAGGGGGAAGAATGGGTTGATGGAGAGAAGACCCAGAACGCAAGTGGAGTGGGAACAGCGCACAGGGGCCGGGTGGGGGCAGGGCAGGACAGGGCGACGCTGAGTGAGTAATTGAGAGTGAGGAAGAGGAGGAACAGCGTCACTGCTGGGGCGAAAGGCTGGGCGGCTGGGGGGCCTTTGACCCAAAGTGGAAAGAACCACAGTGTCTAGGTTCTCTGGAGCAAGCCTGTGAGACGTATGTGTGCATACATACATATACATACATCTATATGAAGCCCTGGTGGCGCAGTGGTTAAGAGCTACAGTGAGCTATGGCTGCTCACCAAAATTGGCAGTTCAAATCCACCAGCCCCTCCTTGGAAACCCTATGGGGCAGTTCTACTCTGTCCTGTAGGGTCGCTCTGGGTCAGAATCGACTCGATAGCCATGTTTTTGTTTTTGTTTTTTTTACTACCTATATATGTGTACATACATAAACATAGGCAGATTTACTTCAAGGAAATGGCTTGTGCAATTGTGGGGACCAGCAAATCCCTAGGCCAGGTGGCAGGCGGGAGACCTCTGGTGGCCACGGGGGGGGGACGGGGGGGGCCAGCTGAGTTTGAGACACACTGAGTTGGGGTGTCCCAAGCCCCAGTGGAGACCCAGTGTGACCTCTCACCCCGGAGCCACAGACGAAAGTGGGAAAACCTTAAGACAGCAGGGAGCAAAGCTGACCACCTGCCGATGCCCCGAGGGGACTGTCTCCCCACTCCACTGCCAAACCAGGGCTCTGTGCACTTCCCGCCTCCGGACTTACAACCACTGGTCCCTGTCGGTGGGCTGCCCTTGCCCTCCTTCCTTTGGCCTGAACTGTCCCCTCCAGCAAGGTCCAGTATCACCCTCTCCAGGCAACCTCCCTCCCGGCCCCCACCCAGCCCCAGCCCTGTATCCTAAGTGCCGGGGGGTCTGGCCTGGGGCAGGCCCTTGGAGGGCGATCCGGGCTAGAAAGGTGCAGCTGAAGTTACTGTAGATGGAGGACAACACGCAGGTGAGGCTGTGACTGCTCGGGGGAAGGGCAGCCCTGGGAGGGTCCCGGACCTGCAGCGAAGCCTGGTGCTGCTCCCCCTTGTGACTCTAGGAAGCAGTGGTCTGAGGAACGAGCTATAGGAGTGGGCAGGAGAGAGGAGAGGGTGCAGAGAAGCCTGACAAATGTCCCTCCATCTAGAGAAATGGCGGTCACTGTGGCCTTGACAAGGACAAGGAGCCAGGGAGGGCAGGGCAGGGAGGAAGCAGGGGCACTGCACGAAGAGACCTCTCTCAAGAAGTCTGAGTGGGAGGCAAGAAAGGGGGCAGAGGGAGGCGGGGAGGGCTTCCAGGGGGAGCTGCTGCGTCCTTTCTGGATGTGGGACTTTTAGGGGCTGCGGGTTCAGAGGGTGGCAGATCTGGCTGAGCCAGCAGGGAGGTTGGAGGGCTGGAGGGAGGTTCCTGCCTGGAAGGAGGAGCTGAGAGTCCAGCAGAGGGAGGGCCAGATTGGGGAAGGTGACCCCACCACCCACATGGAGGGGGTTGATCACAGTGGGCACAGAGAAAGTGCTTTAACACAGAGATGAGAGCTTGGGGGTGCAGGGGAGACCCAGCCACTGCCAGGGCTCCTGGAAGGGGGCGCGGACAAGAAGGGTTAAGGGAGGCCCAAGGAACTGAGGAGTGGAGATAAGGCGTGGGACCCGTTGCGTGGGGGGCAGCGGGCAGTGCCGGCCCGGGACAGGGGACAGGGCTACCTGCTTGGGGATAAGGCCGCCCTGCAGCTGTGGGGACAGGATGGGGGCCCCGGGACAGGCAAAAATCCGCGGTGTCCCCGACAGGCCGAAACACTGGCAGGGGTTCAAACTAGTCAAGCCTACATCTTGAGGGGTCCCTCCCCCCCCAGCTGACGTCTGGGTCCCTGACGCAGGGGAGGGGACAGACGGTGGGAAGGGGGCTCTTTTTCATCAGAAGCGAAGGGTGAAATCACCAAACGGAGGGTCAGAGCTGGTGGGTCTCGCCCGGGAGAAGACTGGCGAGGCCCGGCTGTTTGGGGACGGCAGGGGCGACCTGGGGACACACAGGGCTGCGGATGGAGGTCGTGACCTCATAGGTGGAGTGGGGGCTCTCCTGGGCTCCGGAGCAGAGGAGGCCGGCATCCGGGACTCGGCATTCCAGCTTTGCCTGCTCCGGGAAGCCCGTGGTCCGGACTGGCCAGACCGGGCGCCCAGAGGGTCCAGACTGCGCTGGCGCTCAGTCCGTGAGAGATGCGGAAGAAAGGCCAGGCGGTGAGAACAGTTAATGCGGCGAACGCCAAGGCAAAGCAGCGCTCGGACCCGAACGCCGTCTTCGCCCGGCAGCCAGCAGAAGAGGTGGGACGGCGAGGCCACGCCCCTTATGCTAATATACGCTCCACCGCCCCGCCCCGGCCCAGGGGCCCGACGGGTCCAACGCGGCGGGGTTCGAGAGGCCGGCGGTACCCCGCAACGCACCCTGGAGACCGAGGCGGGGCGTGGCGACGGAGCACGGACCGGTGGCGGGGTGGCCCGGCGCGGGGGCAGTCGGCGAGCCGCCTGGGCGTCGCCGGGACGCGTCTCCCCCTGCCGGAGTGAGGTGGTGCGGCCCGCAGGGGGCGGGGCGCGGGTCATGTGACGCGGCGGCGGGCGCCATTTTGTTCTGCGGTGCTGGTATTTAGAGCGCAGCGGCTGACTGGCCGGATCGCCTTCGCCGCCGCCGGTCCCCTCGCCTCCGCGCCCGTCCGCCCCAGGCTGACTCGCCCCCGCCTTGGCCCGCTGAGCTCGCCCCCCACCCGCAGACATGTCCGACACAACGGGCGTCCCCGAGTACGCCTCCTTTTTCGCCGTCATGGGCGCCTCGGCCGCCATGGTCTTCAGCGGTGAGCGCCGCGACAAGAGGGACCGCGGGCGGGGGGCGCCAGGGCGCGCGGGGCTCCTGCCCGCAGCCCGCGGGGTTCGGCCTCTGACGTCACTCTGACGCAATTCGGAGCTGTTGGGGGTGCCCGGCGCCCCATCCGACCACGGGCGGGGGTCCGGGCTTGCGGGCTGCGAGGACAGCCTGGGATCCTGGGGTTCCGGGGCTCCTGGGCCGGGCAGCCCCTGCCAGCCGTCTGCGTCGGTGCGGGGGTGGGGTGGCAGCGCCGCTGCCATCTTAGCCGGGAAAGGAGAGCGGGAGGCCGGGGTGGGGGCGCGGGGGGCGGTGCGCGGGCTGCGCCTGCTGCGCACCCGGCCCCCCCCAGTCCTGCGGGCAGGTGTGACATCACACCTCGGCAGGCTCCCCCGACGCGGGGCCGCCCTGTCTGTGGGCGGCGGGGGCGGGGGATCGGGCCGAGGGAGCCCTGTCCCCGCAGAGGCTCACGCCTTCAGCCTTGACAGGGACAAGTGCTTCCGGTTAGGGTTTGCCGCGGTTTCCCAAGAGTGCCGTCAGCTGTCTGGGCTGGTTGGGAAAGCTGTGCCGAGGGCTTGGTCCTGAGAGTCGGAAGGACCGAGGGACGGAGGAGGGTGGCAGTGTGTGGAGAACCGGAGGTCAGACAGGCCGACGGCGAAGGATGGGAGGCTCTGCCGTGTGGAGGCTCGTTGAGGGTCTGTGTTTTGAGATGTCCCCGTTTACGGGATTGGGTCTTTGTCCCTTGGGAGGGAGTCTTTCAGCTCTGGCCCTGATGAATGAATGAATGACCGACCGACCTTCCCTTCCTGGAATTGGGAGGGGCTGCCCTGGGCGTGGGGGAGGGGACCTCCGGGGTTCTTGGTGACCCCCTATTTCTGAGGTGGCAGTTGGGTCTCTCTGGAGTGGGGTTGGCTCTTGGCAGTCCTGGGGTGTCAAGTGCAGTGAGAATCGGCCTATGTGGGAAGAAGTTTCTTGAGCAAGGACTGTGAATGCAAGTACCAACCTGGCTGCAGCCCCTAGGGACTAGTCTGGTCTGGTCTGAGCCTCTTCAGGTAGGTGTGGTTTTGGGCTCTGATGACCTTGCCCTGCCCCACCTTACCTGCGGACTGGGGAGGCTCCTAAGCAGGTATATGGAGGGTTTGAACTCCAAACACAGTGTTTGCTGATTGTAAACACTTGGGGTGGGGGCTTGGGGGCTCTGCTCTCTGGGATGCCTCTGCCTGGGCTTGCCTGCCGGTCACATGCTGCTGAGTGAGCCCTGCCCTCCCCGTCATGTGAGGTAGGGGGTCATTTGTGGTGGGAGAAATGGTCTGGACTTCCTCTTCTCCCAGGCCACGCCTGCTCTTTCCATAGCTTGGGGGGGCTGGCTGCTCTGGAGCTCCTTCAAACCTTCCCCACCAGCCTTTTCTGCTCTGTGCTCCCAGAATCTCTCCCAGCATTCTGCTCTGCCCGGCCACCTGTGGGCGGCCATGTGTGGCTGTCATGGCTTCTATTGTGTGCCAGGCACAGGGGAGACGTCAGTGAGCAAGGAAGATACCTGCCTCGTAGAACTCGGGCATTCTAGCTGTCCCTGCTTGCCTTCCAAGCCCTTTCTGCACCAGCTCCTTGCCTCCCTCCATCCAGACCTGCAAGGTGCTTTCACATGAGGCCAGGACAGGTCATTGCTGGCCCCGGGCTTTCCTGCTTAAGCCTGGCTCCTGGGCACAGAGGCCTCCATGCTGGCTCTCAGCCCCACTCCCCTCCCCACAAGAGCCGCCTTCTTACGGAGCCAGTTGAGTCAGCTTCTGACTTCATTTTGCCTATAAACTTGGCCCTTTTCCAGGGCTGGCGTTCATCTGCTGAGCCCACCTCTTAGGGTTTCTCCCTGAACAGGTGCCTTCGTCCCAGGCCTCGGTGGTGCGCCCAGGCTGACCCCAGCTCTTTCCTGCACCCCAGCCGCCCTCGGCCTGCCTAGCCCCTGGTCTGGCTGGTCGTCTTCAAACCAGCTGCAGTCGGAGCCTGTCTTTCAGGGCCCGCTCCCATCTTGCATTGCCGCTTCCCCTTTTTTCTGCAGTATGACAAAAGTTCCAGCACTTATTTCTTCATCACTCCTTCCATGAAGACGTCCGTTGCTCCTTTTCCGTATTTTTTACTTCCTCCCCGCTGGCGGCACCCCGTGAGTGGTTGGCATGTTCCTGGAACTGCCTGCTGGCTTCTCCCCTCGGTCTGGTGGTGCTGGAAGGTGTGCCTTCCGGAACCCCGGGGTGGCAGGCTGGGCCTTCCTAGAGACCTGCCACTGCCCAGGGCGAGAGGCTGTCATCTCCTGCTGCTCCGCCCCCTGATGGTCGATGGGCATAGGGTCTCTTCCCTTTGTTCTGTTGTTGCTCCCTCCTCCTACCAGCCACATGATCTCCCCACCGGTCCAGAAGGCCCTGCGCGTCCTGCCTCGTGCGCACTCTGTTCCCAGTTTCCAGTCTCCCAGTAGCAGCTGGGCCTATGGGAGCCCAAAGATGCATTTGCAGCAGGAGAGCTGCAGGCAAGACCTCCTGAAGGTGGGACGGCAGCCCGGGCAGAGGATGGTGGTTTCCAGGTGTGGCATCGTCCACGCCTTGGCCGGCGCTCTCTCCACCCATTTTGTTTGGTGTCTCTGTTCTGTGTGGAGCTCCCACTCTGCCTCGTCTTCCTGTGATCCCCACACACTTTCACAGCTCCACATGGCATTGCCGCCTCCATGAAGCCTGTCCCCAGGGCCCCCGCCTGCCCCATCCCAGACGGGGCTGGTGTACTCAGAGTGCACAGGAGCCCTGTGAAGGTGGATTCCCTCTGGGTACAGAGTGGGCATCTCTTAGCCCAAATCGATGAGTAGAATGTGCACAGGAATGGCCGGATTGCACGGTCCCCTGCCACCTCGATGCGCACGGAAGAGCACTCAGGAAATCAAAGGACATATTGCAGAGGCAGATCTGCTGCAGAAAGACCCTTCGAAGTGTTAAAAAGTCAACGTCACTTTGCAGACTAAGGTGCGCTTGGCTCGTCCTGGTGTTACGATCTCCTCATACGCGTGTGAAAGCGGGACAGCGAACGAGGAAGACGGAAGAATTATTGGCGCCTTTGAATTACGGTGTTGGCAAAGAATATTGCATATACCATGGACTACCAGAAGAACCAACTAATCTGTCTGGGAAGAAGTACTGTCAGAACGCTTCTTAGAAGGGAGGATGGGGAGACTTTGTCTCACATACTTTGGACATATTATCAGGAGGGACCATTCCCTAGAGAAGGACATCATGCTGGGTAAAGTAGAGGGTCAGCGAAAAAGAGGAAGACCCTCAACGAGACGGACTGACGCAGTGGCTGCAGCAGTGGGCTCAGACATAGCAAGGGCGGTGAGGACGGTGCAGGAGCGGGCAGTGTTTCGTTCTGTGGTACATGAGGTTGCTATGAGTCAGAACGGGCACCTAACACCGCCAACTGCCACCTCTGACCTGGGTCATTCTCTGTGGAGCAAGCCCATCACTGGCCCCTGGGTGCTCCCTAGAACGACCCTGGGCTGAGGTGGGGCTGCCAGTGCAGCCTGCCCCCAGCAATGCAGCAGACCCTGTGGTCACCCTGGAGGGCAGGTGGCAGCTGGCTGGGCCCCCTGTGGGTCTCCACTGTTCTCTGTCAGCATTACCCTAGACTTCATGGAGAGAGTCTGGGAGAGGGGATATGCCCTGGGGAGGAGGAGGGATGGTTTCAGAGGAGACAGGCCCTCTGGAGTCCTTCCTGTGCTGTGGGAGGCCTCAGGCAATGGCCTCTGAGCCAGGCCTGGTCAACTTGAGGCTGCGGTGCCCATGGGGTGGCCTCTTCTGGTGGTCCTGGCTGGCTGATGGGTCCCTGGGCAGAGCCTACATCCTGTCCTTGGCCCTTCCCATGATTTAGAAAAGATCCTCTGGGCTGTTGAGGGCCTGCTGTGTGTGGCTGAGGGGCCGGGAGCAGCGCTCTGAGCAGAGCACCCAGCTAGGTGCCACAGGACCTGGCCCTCACCGGGAGCAAGCGGGTCCTCTTCTGGCCCTCTGACCTGGGGTGGCTCTTCCAGCATGCTGTCCCCGGTCGATAGCACCGAGGGCTGGCCTGGCCTGATACCTGGGCTGCTGAGACGGCATCAGCTTGTGTCTTTCTTTTTGGGTCTTTCCTGACTCGGGTGCCTGGGACTCCAGGGCATCTGGGGGCCAAGTGGCCTGTTTTCCCCTGTAACTGGGCAGCCTCGCCTGTTCTAGCTCCACCATTTGCTTGCAGGCAGCTGCATCCAAGTCTCCTTAAGAACAGCAGGCTTTGGGGTGTGCTGGTGAGTTGGGGGCAGGGCTTCCTGGTGGACTGGAGCCCCAGATTCCCCAGACGCTGAGAAGGGCCTCTGAGGAAGCTTCGGACTTTCGGGTGGTGGGCCTCACCAGAGGCAAGGCATAGCTACCCCGCTGTTCTCCCGAGAGGCCTCCTGCCCCCGGCCGGGTGCTCTGCTCAGCACCACCTCACATTGCATGTGGTAACTTGGGGTGGCCCTCACAGCTGTGCCGGAGCCATCCCCCAGGATGCTGCCTCAGGCCCTGGGCTCACCTCACCTCCCTCCCACAGCCCTGGGTGCCGCCTATGGCACGGCCAAGAGCGGCACAGGCATCGCAGCCATGTCGGTCATGCGGCCAGAGCTGATCATGAAGTCCATCATCCCAGTTGTCATGGCCGGCATCATCGCCATTTACGGCCTGGTGGTGGCTGTCCTCATCGCTAACTCCCTGAATGACAAGATCTCCCTCTACAAGTGAGTGCCAGGCAGCCTGCTGCTGCCGTGCCCTCCCCCATCCTGCCCTCCCAGGCACTCCACAGGGCTGCGGGGAGGACGGTGCCTGGCTGCTAATGTAGATCTTGTCTCTCTCTCCCCAGGAGTTTCCTTCAGCTGGGCGCAGGCCTGAGTGTGGGCCTCAGCGGGCTGGCAGCCGGCTTTGCCATTGGCATCGTGGGGGATGCTGGCGTGCGAGGCACTGCCCAGCAGCCCCGGCTATTTGTGGGCATGATCCTGATTCTCATCTTCGCCGAGGTGCTTGGTCTCTACGGCCTCATCGTTGCCCTCATTCTCTCTACAAAGTAGCCCCTCTTCACGCACAGCAGCCACAGAATACAGTGTAAAGACCACCCCCCTCCTCATTCCAGAAGAACAGCCCGACACACACGCACGGGGCCGCTGACCCCTCAGTAGCTGGTCTTGTAAATGCGCAGTGTCTTAGTGCCCATCGTCTGTTGCCCGCCTTGCCCCAAGCCCCCGCCCCGTGCTGTGGACATCTGGGCCCACTCCCCTCCCACCCAGGCCCCTTACCGGTGAGGAGCAGGCCCCGGCTGCCCCCAGAGTGCGCTGTGTGTAAGGATGAATTAGACATTTTTCTCTTAAGTGGTTGTTTATTTATAAAAGATTTGACCTGTTCGTACGTCTGTGGCGCAGCCCTCGGCTCCCGCCCCATAGTAATCTTAGGTAGCGTGTTGCGTTGTGGGGTTCCCGTATGCTGAGACTTAACGTGGATGTAACACCCCCCTTCCCCTCGGGCCACGCGGGGAGGGTAGTGTGCCGGGCCCGCGGGCCCAGCGCAACGTGTGTTCAATAAAGCTCTCGGATGTGACTGGATCCCCTGTCCACGCTGATTCTGTGGGCCCGGGCCGGCGGCTGGGGGGCGCCAGACTGCGGCGGGAAAGCCGTCATGGAGGGTGCCGGGGCGGGATCCGGGCGCCGCGGTGCACGCCGCTCTGCGCTCCGTCACGTGGACGGCAAGGTCACGTGGGCGCGGCGGTCACGTGGCGCAGTGCCTCAGTCAGCTGAGGGTCACGTGGCCCCGGCCGCTTGGAGCCTGACCGGGCGCGGGATTCGGTCTCGGCGGTGCTGCTGGTGCCGCCCGCTCGGCTCACCATGCGCGGCGGAGAGGGCCCGTCGCGGGCCCCGGTGCTGCAGTTCACCAACTGCCGACTCCTGCGGGGAGGGAGGCTGCTCAGGTGGGGCTGCCGGGGTGCGGGGGCCGGGTGGGGCGGCGGGGGCCGGCCGGGGCGGCGGTTAGGGTGCGGGGCGGAGGGCTCCCCAGCGATCGGAGCCCCGGCCGCTCTGTGGCAGGGAGGACCTGTGGGTTCGTGAGGGCCGCATTCTGGACCCGGAAAAGCTGTTTTTTGACGAGCGGCGCTTGGCTGACCGGCAGCAGGACTGCGGAGGCTGCATTCTGGCGCCGGGCTTCATCGACGTGCAGATCAACGGTGCGGCCGGCGCGCGGGGCCTGGGCCTGGGGGAGGGCGCCCCGAGCACCGCGCGACCTTTTTTTCTGTGGCCGCAGGCGGATTTGGCGTTGACTTTTCTCTGGCGACCGAGGACGTGGGTTCAGGCGTCGCCCTGGTGGCCCGGAAGATCCTGTCACACGGCGTCACAGCCTTCTGTCCCACGCTGGTCACCTCCCCGCCCGAGGTTTATCACAAGGTGAGGTCTTGCTGCAGGGCCTGGAGGAGAGGGGCCCCACAAGGCAGCTCCTTAATTTTCGAGGACCCTAACCCTCTCCCACCTCCCAGCGCCATTCTTGGCTTCTGGGTTTGGTCTCATCTGATTCGAGTCCTCCGCCCGGCCTGGCACCCTGCCCTGTGCCCTCCGGGTTCCCTGGCTGCCCCTGCAGCTCCACACAGCCCCACGTTTGCTATCTCAGTGCCCGGACTGCCACCCGCTTTCCCCACTCTGCATTCTGGCTACCTCCGGGCTCCAGAAACTGCCTCCTTGACCGAGGTCGCCAGGGAATCCGAATGTCACATCCCAGAGTCGCTTCTCAGGCTCAGCCTCCCTGTCTGTCTTCCAGGTGTTACTGATGCTGCTTTCCCCACCTTTCCACTTTGCTTTTTTTGTGCAAGTCCAAGGACTCTTTGTTCTCTTTTTTGTTTTTTTTTTATGGTTTTTAGGCAGGTTTTCTAGTTTTGATTGTCTAACGTGTTTTTTCGTTTAATCTGTTTCTGTTTATACGAATGTTATTTTTTGTGGAATATTTTTTAGTAGGTTGCTTATATTTTGTTCTTTTTTTTTTTTTATACTCTTTAAAAAAACGTGGGTGTTTGTGTAGTTACAGTAGGGTTACTGAGTTTAGGAAGCTAACTCTGTTAAGTACTTTGCGGTGAAACTCGTGAGAGCCGGAACTCCATGGGACTGACTTTTCTGGGTCTCGGAAGTTTTCCGGCTTCGATAGGGTGCAATGTTACCATTTTTCTTTGTTTGTTTTAGTGGAAGACATTTGAGTTTCCTTTCTGACAGGTCTCGGTCTTTGATGGGTTGCAGCCCTCACGGGTTTTACCGTATGATCTAGTTTTGGTTAATGTCCTGGAGTGTTTTCTGACGTCAGCGCGGGATCCACTGTGGGGTCACCGTGTTTCATTTTAGTGCGCCGCTTCCTTCTCTCTGTCTGCCTCACACCCGCACATTCTCTCTCTCTCTCTCTTTCTCTCCCTCTCTCTCTCTCTCCCTCTCCCCCCCCCCTTCTGCCTGTGTGGAGACAGAAGGGAGCTGTGGTGGGTCAAGACTGGGCTCTGGGTTCCAGCTCCCTGGGTTTGGTGCCAGCTTTCCGGTTTCCCCTCTCATCTGTGAGACTTAGGACGAGCCCTCAGTTTGTTTTAAACCTCTGTTTCCTCAAACCCTCCTTCTCGAGCGAGAGTAATCACAGCATCCACCTCTTAGGCCTGTTCGGCACTCTGCCTGGGATGTATTGAGCAGCCAGTCAATATCAGCTACAGGTTTTATTCTGGAAATTTCCCTGGTTCTCCCACCAAAACGTCAAAAATCAGACTTCTTGCTGCAAACGGGCCCCTCACCAGCCGTGTTTCTCCTGGTTGCTGGCCCGTGGTTCACTCTGCCAGGAGCCTGTGAAGATTCCCACCGTCCCGCCCAGGCCCCACCAGGCTCCTCACTGCTCTCTGAGCTCTGCGGAGCTGTCCTTGCAGGTGACCTTTCCCAGTGCAGGCGTCTGCACACCCCTCCCCGACTCTGACCCCTTAGCATCCCTTTCAGGCACGTTCCAGCACCTTCCCTCTACTGCCCCTAAGCCCTCTGCTTGGAATGCCTGTGCGTTGCTCTGTGGGCCACGCCGAGGGGCATCACAGGCCCACAGCACTGTGTCTCACAGCCGTGATACAGACTGGAGAGGGCTTAACCTGGAGTTTCCTTACCGGCAGCCATCATAGTCCGGGTACTTTGTAAACCCTGGTCAGTGCTCGCAGGATGAAGGTTCCGGAGGCGGGGAGGAAGTGATGATGGCAGAGATTGTGGGGGGCTTTGGATATGGAGCATTTAATATCAGTTTCAACTTGGAAACTAGAGGACTGTTCACTTGCGTATCCGCCCACCTTCCTCTGGGGGCCCATTCACACTGGGTGGCATTGGATTGCAAGGTGGCCAGCAGTTACCCAGGTCACTTGTCACGTTCTGGTCTATTGAAACCACCTGCCTTTTTGTGGGGTCTCCCCCAGGTTTGCCCTTTGCTTCCAGAAGGTAGATCTGCTTGTGTTTGTTCTCTGCTGTGGGTCCACAGTCTCTTGAACCAGTGTCAAATATCTCCTCAAGGTGGCAGCCAGGCCCCACATGCTCTTTACACTTAACAGCTGTTTATCTGCCTTGAAAGGAGCCCTGGTTGTGCAGTGGTTAAGCGTTCATCTGCTAACCAAAAGGTGGTGTTTGAACCCACCAGCCACTATGCGGGAGAAAGATGTGGCAGTCTGCATCCATAAAGATTACGGCCTTGGAAAGGCTATGCGGTAGTTCTGCTCTGTCTTGTAGGGTCGCTGTGAGGCAGAATTGTTTTGATGGCAAGGGTTAGCTGCTATCAAGTCAATTCCAACACGTAGTGACCCTATAGAACAGAGCAGAGCTGCCCCATAAGGTTTCCAAGGAACAGCTGGTGGATTCGAACTGCCTACCTTGTGGTTAGCAGCTGTAGCTCTTAACCACTGTGCCACCAGGGCTCCACCCTGCCGTGAAGGTAACTCATTTTCTTCATGTCCAGGCTGTGCTTCATCCTGTTCTCTTCTGCTTTCTGTTTAAAAACTCTGCTCTTCAGTTGTTGTTGTTGGTTCTCAGTAACGTCATGCGCACGCACACACCCTGTCTTCTTAGGAAAAACAGCCAGGTTTGGGCCCTGCCGGGTTCCACCCTAGGGACAGCCACTTCCCTCTCCCGCTGATTGTTTTGGAATTTGCCTATTTCTAAATCACGTGCTTGTGTTTCTTCCTGGGTTTTCAGCGTAGGCAGTATCTGTCTGCTCCCCCCCAGGAGCTATCAGCAGTAGCTCTCAGCCCCTTGAGCCCTTTCTCACGCCCTACCCGTCAGTTCTGGAAAAACTCAAACCCCATCATCCACAAGTAGTAGTCACCTGGGCTTTTGGTTCCATCAGCCACCGAGCTCAGCTGTCAGAACGGTGTGCGTGGACCTGCCTGCCAGGCACTGTGCTTGCCTTTCCTTACCTGCCAACCTCGCTGTCCTTGGAGTTAATACTGCTTGCTTATCTTTCTTTATAGCTACTTTCTTTGCTCCAGGCTTGCTTGCTTGCTTTTTTTTTTTTTTTTTTAATAATGTGTTTTTGGTGAAAGTTTACACAGCAAATCAGGTTCCTCTTTGAAAATTTCTCTGCAGATTGTTCGGTGAGCTTGGTTGCGTTTTTCCCAGTGGGTCAGCATTCTCTTTAATTGGTTCTGCTTGTTCCAGTGCTGTAATTTCACTGCACCTTCATCTTCTTTTTAGCTTTAGAGGAATTGTTGACTTTCGGTCTCAGGTAACATGCTTTATTTGGTGTGCCAATCTGTTACTTCGCTGAAAGGTGAACTCGGGATAGTTTTGGTGCAGGGTTTAAAGAGCGTCTCAGGGCAGTGTCTCAGGAAATCCTCTAGTGTCAACGGGTCCAGTAAGTCCGGACTTTTTAAGAATTTGAGTTTTGTTCGGCGATTTTCTCCCGTTCTATCAGGGTCAATCTGTTGTGGCCCTGATCAGAACAGTCGGTGGTGGTAGCCAGGCACTGTCCAGTTCTGGTCTGCTCCCGGCTCTCTGCCAGTTGTCTCATCCTCTTCTTCAAGGGTGCTGTCACTTTCCTTTTCCTGTGGAGCCTTTGGAACCTGCTTTCCTCAGCACTGGTTGCCAGCTCTGCCAGGCCAGACTGTCCTGTAAACTCCCTTGCCTATTAGAGGACCCCCCTGGCCTCTTCCTGCTCGGTCACCTGTGTCCTGTGTCCTGTGCCTTCCTCTTTCCTGGTTTATGCCTTCGTTTTGATGGAGCACATTCTCCAGTAGCTTCCACTGAAAGGGGTCATGGGAGGTAAATGTTTTGAAAGTGTCTTTATTCTTTTAATTGGTGGCTTTGCTAGGTTAGAATTCTTTGTTAGAAGTCGTTTTCTTCAAATTGGAACATTTTTAAAGGCATTGGTGCATTGTCTTTTAACTTCCAGAGTTGTTGAGGAGGAATCAGAAGCCATCTGACAGTGCATCCTTTGTGTGTGATCTGTTTCTTCTTCTGGGAGGCTTGTGGGGTCCTTTCTTTGTCCCTGTGTTCTGAACCCTGAGGAGGATGTGGGGAAAGGGGGTCAGAGGGTGTCTCTTTTCACCCATTGTGTTGGCAGGCCCTGTCAAACTAGAAACTTGGGGTTTTGCGGTGTTTTTTTTTATTATTTTGCTTTTCTTGAATTACATTATTTATGATTTCTTTTTTGCCTTCTGTTTCTCTGTTGTAGTTTTGTAGACGTTTGCTCGTCTACTGCTGGGCCCCCTGGGTGAACTGGTCCTCTATTAGTTTTTCTTTTTTTCCTCATTTCTCTTTTGACTCTTTCTGGATGTTTCCTCAGTTTTTGGCTTCAATCTGTGTTTGGGTTTTTTGTTTTGGTGCCCTCATGTGTTTAATTTTGAAGAGCTGCTTTTTTTCCCGACTGTTCCTGTTTCATAACACCCTGTTCTTGTCTTATGGATACAAGACTTCTTATTGTTCTCTGGGTTCTGCTTCCTTCGCCAGTTGCTTTCTCCTCTTGTGTGTTGTGGTCTCTGCCCAAGATGCCTGGTGGACCTGGCTTGTCTGGACCTTGGAGGGGCCTGCAGTCCTTTTGTAACACCTGAGGGAGGGGCTGGGCTGGGCGCTGGCGTTAGCTTTGAACTCTGGGCTAGGCTGGGCTCTGAACTCTGACCTTTGAGCTCTGACCTTGGCTGGGCTGAGACCTTTGGGCGCTGGGCTTTGTGGACAGGGCTTTAACAGCTGGTTCCCCCCAGGTTCTTCCTCAGATCCCCGTGAAGAGAGGTGGCCCCCATGGGGCAGGGGTCCTCGGTGAGTGGCTGGCCCCCTCCCCACCCCACCTTGTGAGGCTCTAAGGGGGAAACATGTTGGCAGCCCCTCACCCTCCAGATGCCCCACCACCAGGGAGGGAGGGCAGGTGAGAGGGGCCCGGGGCAGGGGCTATGGGGTGGGGGTGCCTGCTCGAGCCGCTCCCATGCTCTCCTCCCAGGGGTGCATCTGGAGGGTCCGTTCATCAGCCGGCAGAAGCGAGGTGCTCACCCTGAGGCCTACGTCCGCTCCTTTGAGGCCAACGCCTTTCACGATGTGCTGGCCACCTATGGGTCCCTGGACAACGTCTGCATCCTGACGCTGGCCCCTGAGCTGGACCGCAGCCACGAGGTGATCCAGGAGCTGACAGCCCGTGGCATCCGTGTGTCCCTTGGTGAGGGGGCTGTCCGTGGGGTGGAGGCGGGGCCGGGCCGGCACAGGATCTGATCCCGTCCCCTGCGCAGGGCACTCGGTGGCGGACCTGCGGACGGCCGAGAACGCGATGCAGAGCGGGGCAACCTTCATCACCCACCTCTTCAATGCCATGCTGCCTGTGAGTACCGCCCCGCCCCCGGGCAGGTGGGGGCCTGGGGCCCACATGCGCTCAGCCGGCCCCTCCTCCTGCCCAGTTCCACCACCGCGACCCGGGCATTGTGGGGCTTCTGACCAGTGACCAGGTGCCCCCAGGCCGCCACATCTTCTACGGGATGATTGCCGACGGCATCCACACCAACCCTGCGGCCCTGCGCATTGCTCACCGGGCCCACCCCCAGGGTGAGTGGGGGCGTGGGGTGGGTGATGGTAGGCTGGGGACTGCCTGCAGGTCCTCATGCCACTGCCTCCTCAGGGCTGGTGCTGGTCACTGATGCCGTCCCTGCCCTGGGTCTGGGCAATGGCCGTCACACACTGGGGCAGCAGGTGGTGGAGGTGGACGGGCTGTCGGCCTATGTGGCAGGTGAGCGGCCCCGTCACGAGAACAGTCTCTCCAGGCGGGAGGCAGGAAGCGAGGGTTCCCTGCCAGCCCACTGGGTCCCTTCCCCGCCCTACCCCCGCCAGCATGCCAGGCCGCCCCGTGTCCCCCAAGCTGCGCCCTGTCTGCCGTCCAGGCACCAAGACCCTCTGCGGCAGCATCGCCCCCATGGACACCTGCGTGCGGCACTTCCTGCAGACCACAGGTCAGTGGGACTGGGGCTGCGGGCAGCAGGGGGGCCGAGGAAGAGCAGGTCTGCTTGCGCGCATTCTCAGGGATGGGGGAGGGCAGCCTGTCAGCCTTGGGCGGAGCTGGAGCTCTGGGGCATGCGCGGGGGAGGGGCCGCGGCAGAGCCCACTGCAGCCGGGGTCACCTCTGAGCTGTGGGGTCACCTCTGAGCTGAGTCCCCGCGCAGGCTGCAGTGTGGAGTCGGCCCTAGAGTCCGCGTCCCTGCATCCCGCCCAGCTGCTGGGGCTGGAGAAGCACAAGGGGAGCCTGGACTTCGGTGCTGATGCAGGTGAGAGCTGCCTCGGCACTCCCGGGGGATAGGCCGGCGTAGGCGGCTGGGGTCTGCCCTGTTCCCCCCTCGCAGGCAGCCCCACTCGGTCGCCAGCCAGCGTGGCCTCCCGCACAGGGCATGTCCCTGGGCCTCGGTTTCCCCACAGGCTGGGGGTGGGGGCTGTGACACAGGTCCCCTTTTCTCACTGCCACCTCCCTGCAGACTTCGTGGTGCTTGATGACGCTCTTCACGTCCAGGCCACCTATATTTCGGGTGAGCGGGTGTGGCAGGCAGAGGTGGCCGGGCAGTGACTGAGGATCGCAGCAGTGAGGAGGCCGGCGCCAGCTGGGCAGTCGGATTGGGTCGTCAGGGAGCTGGTCTCTGGAGCGAGCAAGGCGTGAATAAACCTGCATCTACGGGGACCTGTGCCATGGACTCGCGCTCGCGTGCGAAGCGGGGCTCCTCCTGGGGGAGGGGTGTGGCTCGGGCGTGGGAGCAGCATCGCAGCTCAGCCAGGAACCCTGGCACCCCGGCGGGAGAGGTGGGGGAGACTGAGGCACGGCCGCAGGAAAGTGCTCGCTTTGGGGATGATTCTGTGGGCCTGGGTGGCGTGGGGAGGGGTGAAGCTGGCAGTGATGCTGGGTGGCACGAGGCAGCAGAAGCCGGGGACAGTGAGCGCGTACAGCCTCAGCAGGTGGCTCCACAGGGTGGAGGGAGGGGTTTTGTCTCAGAACTTCAGAGAGAATGGATCTGGGGGAGGAGATATGCCCAGATCTGAGGCAGGGAGAGAGGGAAGCAGCCTCGGGGCACAGCGAGTTCTGGGCCAGGCATACTTCTGACCTTCAGGAGGGACTCTGGTGCTGGAGGTCTGGGCCCAAGGTCTGCTCCCTAGCCTGCCCAGCCCTAGGCCCCACGGTCTCAACCTCTTGTGGAGAACTGAGGTTCCATCTCGACCAGGATCTTCTCGATAGTCCTGCTCCTGGGTGGATGTGATGCACACTCGTGTGCCTGGTACCAGTGGGCAGCTCAGGCTGGGAGCACAGGCCCCCAGAGAGCATCAAGGTGACCGTCTTGCAGGTCCCCACCTGGCTCTGAGGTCAGCTGTGACGTGGGGTCAGGGCTTCCAGCCCCAGGTCTGGGGTTGTGGCTTGACTTCCTCTCCATCTGGACCCTGGAGCAGCCTTGGGGGTATGACAGTTAAGCGCTAGGCTGCTAACCAAGAGGTTGGCAGTACGAATCTGCCCAGCAACTACGGGAGAAAGACCTGGTGGTTTGCTCCCCTGAAGGTTACAGCCTAGAAAACCCTGTGGGGCAGCTCTGCTCTGTCACGTGGGTTCATCCTGATTCAGAATTGACTTAATGGCACTAAACAACAAAGACAGCTGGGCCCCAGGTCGAGCGCCCCTCTGCATTCACACCAGGCAGGGACTGTTCATCCGTCTCCGCTGCAAAGCCTGTTGAGGGAAGTGTCTCTGGGTTGGGAGTAATAAGCACGGCCGTGGGCCCCACCGACCTGTGTTGGAGGGGCGTAGCCTGGGGAGGAGGACCCCTGGCTGGCCTGGACTGAGGGGACCTGGGGTGCACTGTCAGCTCAGGAAAGGTGCACAGGACCCTGATGTGCAGGTGGCCCTGGGGCACTGCTTGCTGTGATGTCTGTGAGTTCACCAGGATGGCCGTGCACCCTCAGCACGGCGTCAGGCAGCTCCTGCCGTGTGCCAAGGATGGAAGGTGGCCGGGAGCAGGGTTACTGGGGGGAGGGGGAGGCAGATGGGCCCCGGTCTGGGTGCTTCGGCCATCCTTCTGCCAAAGACCCCAAGCAGTGTCCTCTTTGTCATTTCATTTCTCAGAGGGGACAGCGGGGCACAAAGTCTTCTAGCTGGGGAGCCCCTGGCCCAGACTTCAACCCAGTCTGCCCTCCCCAGGGCTGCCCTGGTGGGGAAAGCAAGGGGTTGGGTCAAGGCTCTGGGTGAGGAGACACAGCAGGACACGCCCACAGGCAGGCAGGCTGGACAGGGATGGCAGGCATGTGGGGTGGGTTAGCCGGCCTGGGGCCCGCAGTGAGCATGTGGCTTTACTCCGGGTCCAGGGAGCCCGCTGCAGGCCTTGGGGCAGAAGAATGTGGGACCGTTTCATTAGCCTCAGGTTGCTGGGGGCAGGTGGTGTGGGCCGTGTGAGCAAGTCTGAGGGGAGCTGATATGGGCCTGGCCCCGGATGTGGGGGTGGCAGTGGGCTGGGGACAACTGGGGGGGACACCCAGGTGTCTGCCTGAGTCACTGGGTGGGTGGGTTGGCGCTCAGAGTTGGAGGATCGTGGGGGTGGGATCCAGAGTTTGGGATGCTGGTGAGACACCCTGGCAAGATGAGGGGGGCGCGTGACTGGGGGATGGTGACAGCATCCGTTGAGGGGTTGGTTTCGCTTTGTGCGCGGGTGGGAGGATTCAAAGACTGGCTGTCCTAAGTGACCCAGAGGAAGGGCTGTAGCACCGTGGCCACCGGCACCGAAGTCTGGGCCTCCTGCAGGGCCCGGCCACCTGGCGGCCAAGCCGGGGGCTGCAGGGGCGCGGGCCGGCCGGCCACCCTCCAGCTCGTGCTTCGACCGCGAGCAAAGCAGACGAGGGTTTGATTCCCGCCTCCAGAGGATCCCAGGAAAGTCGTTTTACCTTCCGAAACCTCGGGTACCCTCACGGAATAATGGGGCCCGCAGGCTCAGAGAAAGCTGGCCGGTAGCGCGCTGGCGCGCCGCAGCGGAGTCGCTGGGGTGCCCTCGAGCACGGGCTGGGGGGTTCCGGGTGGTCCAGGCCAAGAGCCGGGTCAGTGGGGCGGGGGAGTGATGTTAGCCAAGAACGCGGAGACCCAAGGGACAGTCAGCGGGGTAGCCAGGGGTACGGCGAGCCCCGATCGTTCCCTGCTGCGAGGCAGAGGGCACCCCCAACCCCAAACACCGGCTCCGTCCGGGTCTTACAGCCCGCGCCAGCTCTACGCAGACCCGCGGGTGGAAAGGGTGTGGCTCTGGGGACACGCCCGCCGGGGGAGGACCTCTGCTGGGGCCAAGAGCGGGTGGTCTGGGCGGGCTGGAGGAGCTGGGCCCGGTGCCCTGCCGCGCCCTTTCTTTCCGCGCCCCGACCCTCTGGGACCCCCCCCCATGCCCCTCCCCTCCCCTCCCCACTGAGTCCCTCCTCCGGAGCGCTCTCCTCGAGTTGAGGGGTGGGAGTTCCTCGCCGACCTGGTTCCAACGTTTCTGGCCCCGCCTCCTATCCAATCTACTCTGGAGACTATTGTAGGGAAAAAGCATCACAAAATCTAGTAAAGCAAAAAAAGTTTTATTCAGCGCATATTCAAAAAGGCAAAAGTGGGAAACGGACAACCACGTTTCCAAAGCCATGTCTGCGGGAGTCCAGGGAAATATCACAGAACAGACAAAAGTGGGAAAACAGGCTGTTAGAGCCCTGTCTGTCCAAATCTGAAGAATATTACAGAACAGACAAAAGTGGGAAAACGGACAAGCATGCTGCTAGAGCCATGTCTGCCCGAGTCCAGGGAATGTCACAGAGTCATCACAGTATATTAACGTTATCAATGGGCAAAATCACTGGAAGCGTCACTTTTTCACAGGTTGGCTAGAAACAGTGATCCTACATTTTGAATCGTTTTTCTCAACAGTCATTGGTACAGGTTTCAGTGAGGACAGTCGGAAGGGTCTTCACTGGTCCAACAAATTTTCTGTTCACTAAATGTTCACAGAAACAGGTGAGAGTGGAAAATCTTCTGTGTTCTGTTTGAATGATTTATGTGAAAATTTCCTAAAAGATATTTTCCAAGATTGTCCTGGCTATTGTCTTTATACCTCCGGGCCCAGTTGAGGCGTCCTTGTGAGTCCTTCTAAGCCCAGCTCTAGCTGGGTCACATTCTCTATGCATTGCTGGAATGAGCAGACTCAATGTACATCAACATTTTAGCCCGAGGCTGCTTTTGCCTTTTAAGTATGTAGGACCAACAGAAAATAAATGTTATTATGCCTAATACTATCAGGATGTAGACTAAGAATATTACTCTTCCTTGCCATAGTGATCTAGCCCATGTACTTATTCCTGATGGTAACCAAGCAAATAAATCTGGTGATTGTAAGGGTGTCACAGGGTGTAACCAAGTAGTTTGCTGTCCAGTTCTATGGATATCTGGTTCACAGCACAGACTACATTTTCTTGGACTCATAAAAAAACTACGGTTATTTTGTTATCATGTCACCTTGGCTTCTAAGATCAGAGCTCGCTTTTGGGCTTCCATCCCACTAGCGACTTCATCTGTTATTTGTCCCCTAGTGACTGACAAATTTTCTTAAAGATTTCTCTAACTCAACTCTACAGTAAGTAGGAATTAAAGCTCTTAGCAGTGACCAAGCCCACCCTGCGTGTTGGACCAATGGGCTTTCTGCTGACTCTCATTTTACAGTGTGACAATTTGACATTACCTCTCCAGTATTTACTGGCCTCATTACTACGAATATCTAAAGGTGATCCCAAAGTTCCAAGTGCATTGTCCAGGCATTCATCAGGAATCTAAACAAGGGATTGCCCTCGTAAATTCACTACCAGTGAGACAGGATCATCTAAACTAGCACAGTTGGATTTACCACACAAAAACCTACGTCCGTAAGGAGCACACAGAGTTTGTCTAGAGGAAACAGAAAATACAGAAAAATTTACATGTGACAAACAATTTTTCATTAAAGAATACACGATGAGCAAGATCATACAGGATGGACCTCTCCTGTTGGAGGTCTTCAGTTAATCACCTTAAAACATACTAAGTGTCCTCCCTGAGGGCAAGCTGCCCCTCCCTGGTTACCTGTTAACAGTCAGGGGTCACTTTCTCAGAAGCAGAAATAGAACCAAAGACAAAATGGAGTCTGAGCCATGAGGTCGATCTCCTCTGAGAACCTGGTTTCTTTAAGATACATAATTTTCTGCATCCTAAGAGGCTGACGGTTTGATTATAAACATTAGACAGGTATTTCATAGGACACTGTCTTAAAGACTGATTAAAAGAATTACTGATTTACCTTAAACATATCCCCCAGTCTGATCTTTGAAGTTAGTTTCCTAAAACAGACTGAATTCTTCACACACAAAAAAGCACAAAGCCCAGAGCAAAATGGTCTTACTAGTTTATCTGGACTATCGTTTGACTCAAAAGTGGCTTCAGGAACCAGATTTATTTTTTTTCCCCAAAATTCGAGGTTCAAAAGGACAGCCAAAGGCCATGTCCTGTGTGGGTTGCCCCAACCTCCATGAAAGCAGAAATCTGGATTCCAGGAGAATTACATACAACTCTCATCATTCTTTCATTTGGATCATGATCTTGCTAGAGAATCTTTTATCAAAAATGCTTAATAAATGGTAATTAGGCATCATCTGGTT